TTTGCTCATTTTACTTATGACATATTCTTACTTTCAGTTATGCAACGTTTTCTAATATAAATCCTGAAGGTAAATTTTCACATATTGTCAGGAATTTATCATAATTTACACATTCAGAATGACTATCAATACTATACCCAAGACGGTCCATAGTTCTGATAGCGCTCTTCAGCTTTACGTCGGAAACAGCCGAAATATTGTAATTTTTATTATAAATTATTAGTTAATTTTTATTATAAATTTTTAGTTATTATGCACGCTTTTTTGCTTACAGAAAGAACATATGAAGAATTAAATACTCCTCCTGTAGTTAATGATAACAATCAACATAATTCTGGAGATGTAAAAGAATATGAAAATATGAGAAGAAATTAAATATAACAGGCTGTAACATCTGATACAGTACGAGTAATATCCAATACCAACACATTAAATATAACAGACTGAAAAATATCCGACACAGTACTAGTAATATCCAATACTAACACATTAAATATAACAGACTGAAAAATATCCGATACAGTACTAGTAATATCCAATACTAACACATTAAATATAACAGACTGAAAAATATCCGATACAGTACTAGTAATATCCAATACTAACACATTAAATATAACAGACTGAAAAATATCCGATACAGTACTAGTACTATCCAATACTAACACATTAAATATAACAGACTGTAATATCTGATACAGTACTAGTAATATCCAATACCAACACATTAAATATAACAGACTGAAAAATATCCGATACAGTACTAGTAATATCCAATACTAACACATTAAATATTACAGGCTGTAATATCTGATACAGTACGAGTAATATCCAATACCAACACATTAAATATAACAGACTGTAATATCTCATACAGTACTAGTAATATCCAATACCAACACATTAAATATAACAGACTGTAATATCTAATACAATACTAGTAATATCCAATACCAACACTTTAAATATAACAGACTGAAAAATATCCGATACAGTACTAGTAATATCCAATACTAACACATTAAATATTACAGACTGTAATATCTGGTGCAGTACTAGTAATATCCAATACCAACAAATTATATATAACAGACTATAATATCTGATACAGTAATAGTAATATCTAATACAAACACATTAAATATTACAGACTGTAATATCTGATACAGAACTAGTAATATCCAATACTAACACATTAAATATTACAGACTGTAATATCTGATACAGAACTAGTAATATCCAATACTAACACATTAAATATAACAGACTGTAATATCTGATACATTACTAGTAATATCCAATACTAACACATTAAATATTACAGAGTTTTACTTGGTAATAGTTTATTTACCAGTACTAATAACAGGTAAGAGATGTATTTACATTGTATTATTTCTCATATGATATACCTATAAGACAAGTCTTCATGTATAAGACAAGTCTTTGTGTAGACTTTGTAAAGCTTATAACAATAATCGTAAATATTAGACTTCAACTTGCATTAAATGCATATGGAGATAACATGAATCGAGTTTACTTTCTGCACCATGTTAGCTAATGAAGACGGGCAACGCCATGCAGAGTGCAATGAGGGAAGTTTTGTCAGGACAGCGGCATTAGCCTGCTCTTTTTCCATTTCCAACCCATTGAATATAAAAACCGTAATAGCTGATACAGAACAAGTAATATCCAATACTAACACATTAGATATAACAGACTGTAATATCTGATACAGAACTAGTAATCCAATGCAAGCCATCGCAAACAATTGAGGGCTATTTAGTTTAATGTACGTCTCTCCAAATTCTGTATCATCTTGCCTAACTGAAAACCGATTTCAGCTCTATATTCTCTCGTTTGTCTACCGAGTTGCATGTAAATTAATATTATGGTAATTTCCAGTGTGTTCCTGTCGGTATTTCCTATATCACAACTACCAGTCTATGCCTATTGTAATTAGTTTGTTAAACCACCGTCTATTGTAAATATTCACTATTATTTATTTATATGAATCTTCAATTTGGAGGAAATAAAGATATACTAGTAGGCTACTATCCAATATCCACAAATCAATTACATTTTCTCTCCATTATTATTTATGTATATGTTCTTACTGTGGCAACTGTTTTATTACTAAATATAATTAATTTATTCTTTGTTGCTATTCATGTGAAACCATACATTTTCCTTTCTTTAATTTTATAGTGTATATGATTTATTTCTGGTATG